AACACGTGAATAATACCAGTCATCAAACCCAAAATAAGCTGGAAAACAGCACTTTATTATACATTTGTTGAGTATTCAGATTCAGGGATGCAATGGTTCGATCCCAATCGTGTTTTTCTATTTTTTAATTTCTATATAAAACATATCGTCATCCCTGCCATTATTTTCGACAAAACAGAGTTAACAGTATATTATAAAAGGGATTTTTGGTCTCAGAAGCTCACGATTAGTGTGATATGCAGTTCAACAAAATGATTATTATCGAAGTAACCAAATGTAAGATTCACTAAGAGCTTATATCAGTTATTATGGCCATAACAATAATAGTGTACTAACTCCACTGGGACCCAATGAATTCATCGGATCAATCCATCCTGGCAATGGCTCACGATATGAAGAAATAACTGAAAAAAAAAACAATGATCAAAACTAAAATTTAACCAGTTTCGCCGGTCAAATTTAAGGATAAAGTGAAGTGAAATTTTATAATACGGATAGCAAAAATAACATGTGGCCAAAAATAATAGTATTTCATTGAAAAAAAATTAGTGTCGATTTTATATGTATTTTTTTATCACTTTCGATTATTAAAAATAATAGTTATCATATCATATTATATGTTATTAATATATTAATAATAAAATTACAGCATTTACCGATTGCCGGTCTAACAATAGAGATAGGTAAATTTTCTGCTTCAGAACGCACGATCTCTTCGCCGAGTGCTTTTGAAAAGGAATAAGCGTTTGGCCAATCCGCTTTTACTCTGAAAAAAATTTAAAAACATCACGTTATATACAGACGTCAAAGTTGCTAAAAAAGATTTTTTAATTCCCTATTAATATAAAAAAAAAACTAGTAACAATTTTTAAAATTCTTTATATGCACTAACGGTCTTTTACGACAGAGTTATACGGTCTTTATTTTTTGTTGGTCTTCTGGGTCGGGTCCAGGTGGGTTCCTCTGGAGGAACTTCTCACTTGAGAATTGCCACCAATGATGTTTTAGTGAGTAAATATCTCACATCGAAAGAGACAAAGTGTCTTTCCCAAAAAGGCATATGCAATGAGACTTGTCTTCATATAGTTTGAAGTATAACGTAATCAATAGTGTAATACTTACTGTTGCATCATATTTTCTAATTTACTTTCATCAATAGTTTCTGCCATATCTATGAAGGCATTTGGTGGTACAGGACTATCGTAAAACTGTTCCTTAACTGCTCGCCCCACTCGACTGTGTGTAGCGTGACTGTACGCTGTGGATACGTGAACTATAGACCTGAAATAAATGTACCAATTTTATATAAGCATCTTCAGAAACTGATGAGAAAATAGTTCCCTAAATTGTCCAAGTCTTGGGGTCCATGAAAAAACCAGCGCGCGGGAGTGTATGATGGTGGGAAATTAGGCGAGAAATAAGGGCCTGTAAATTGGAGGAGAAATGTAACAGTAATTTAACTAAAACTAAATAAATTTAAGAAGTGGTCTACGAGAAATTTTTCAATATCTGTTGTTATCTTGTTTACAAACTTTATACGTAGAGTTGATATTAACTAGTATAGTGTGTATACTTGCCTTAATTCTTTACAACATTTAGCTAACCGCAATATCTCCCTGGTTCCTCTAACATTGGTCAGTGCAACCACTTTCATACTCTCATTAAAGTTCACCGTAGCTGCTGTATGGAATATTATGTTCACCTGAGAAAAAAAATCATGGTCTCTCAAAGACTTTCAATTGAGATGTTACATACGTTTCAACCAACCCGCACTTGGTCAGCGTGGTTGACTATGGCCTAGTTACCCGTAACTAAGGGTAGGCTCTCAGCCCCTCGTTGGGGACGTATAGTGAGCTGATGATGATGATGATAATGATACGTTTCATTATCTTGCATACTTCCGATTTCGTCCTTTTTAATATTATATCAAAGAGGTCGTATTTAAACTGACGCTATTATCTTACTAATATTATAAATGCGAATGTTTGGATGGATGTTTGTTAAAAGGTATCTCCTAAACGGCTCAACGACTCGGCTCTATAATCATAATGGGACGTTCAATTTACAATACTATCAATAAAATCCTATAAAAAGCAAATAAATGTTGTCTGACCTGTCCTGTAATAAGATCCCAATCAGACGCGCTTAGTCCAAGCTTCACTTCGCTGACGTCACCAGAAACTGCTAATACATTGTCCGCAAACTTTGACTTTCGATTGTGCAAACTATCAAATACCTGTAAGAGTAAAATATGTAATTACATTAACATGTTGTAAGTTAAATAACAACGTACTTTAAATGGACAGAGAAGGGGATCTAGACATCCCCTCCTGTGTCGACTGCAGCTGATGCTGCTGTCTCTGCCACTGTGTATGTATCGTGTTGTTGTTAAAAATCTTACCGGGTCTTGTAGAATCTCCTTAACTCGCTGCTGTGCAGTTTTTCCCTTTTTTGCTCGCAGTAATAAATAAACTTTATTCACGTTACAGCATCTGATAAAAAATATTATTTCCTTGTATCATACTTTTTAAGTCATTGTGTCCACATAAAGTTTTTTTTTGTATAATATAATACAATATGGCTAACTAGCTGCCAATTAATAACCCTATGTCGTGGTCAAACGGGCCATCCGTTGCACGAATTAGTTGGCTCGGAGGAAGCATTTAGTTCAGATGAGTGTGGCGCGAAAGGCCTAATGTTAGTCTCCTTTCCATTCCCATCCTTTACTTATAAAGAAAGTATGGAAAGGAGATTTAATGGAGTAGGGAAGGCATATAAAGGAGAAATGTTATCTGTGCATCCACTCCTCCGTGGCTTCGCTATACCGAATACAAGTGGCCGCTTGCACATTTGCCATGTTACAATATAAAAAAAAAACTAAAATTGGTTTATACGCAGCGATTCGATGTTCCGTGCTGTCAAGATATTTGACATCCACTTTACCTAAATAATTTCTCGAGCAGTTGTTTCCCGAGGAAGCCGGAGCCACCGGTAACGAACACATTGGTACCGGAGTAAAACTTCTCCACGCTGGAAGCTCCGCTCGCGATTATATTTGCCACATCGTGTTGACGATTGACCGCTTCTTTCTCCAAAGCTAACATTAATTCCGACATATCTAAATAAAAAAAAATTACAGATTAATAGAAATTTAATATTTTTTGTAACCATCAATAGAAACCCTCGTGTTTATTGTTATTACAACTACGAAATAACAATAAAACAATTATAACAACAATTATTGTTATTTCGGAGTCGGTGTCGGCCAACAATTGTAGGCATATAATACAAGAAAGAAGATAACTTTCTTTGCTTTAGGATATTCAGTGTATTTTGTTTGAGATTTTTTTGCACTCAGGAATCTTTTTTTTTTCTTTATTCTGTTTGCATTTTAAAATTTGTATATAGGACTATTATTTTTTATGTAAATATCATAAGATTAATGAAAAAAAAACATAATAATTAATAGAATAAAAAACTAAACTTACTTATAATTTTCACTCACAAATTATTCACAAAGTATTTATTGTTTTGTAAAACGTGTTGTTTGTTCAACAGTAAAGAATGTAATAAAAAACTTAATGATTCCCAAGTACAGTTATTCGGTTAATATTATTCATGGTATACTAGTAGTGACTCGCAGTTTTGTTTCCCGATAAATAAAAAACTTATAATTAATTAACCTCTTGCTACCACACTTAGGCTCATCATACACAAAGCAACATAAATCTTTAAGACTTGGCGATTTTAGTCGCTAAACGACTTCAATGCAATTTTTACGGGTTCTTACATAGACATGCATATTCTTTAGTGGCCAAAACCAATCGCTCGCGACTTGGGAGTCTATCACGAATATTTACGATATGCCTTTTCGTGCCGTCATCGTAAAGATATGTCGAAACTTGTAAGAGATTTGTAGTTGTACTTTAGGCTTGCTGTAAAATACAATTTTTTTCGATAATTCCGAATACTTTCTCGCAGAACTTTCCTGACTAATTAGGCCCACTGTTTGTCCTGATCGTTGTGAGAAAAGTCGCTGTTATTATAAAGATGGGTCATTGGATCAAGAGCAAATCTTTACAATTGACATGTAGTCGCTAAGACAGTACTGACCGAATTGACGACAGAAAATTATATTTTGTAACATTTTTGTCTGTCTGTTTGCAGGTCTTAAACTGAAACAATTTTGACAAGACTATGACTAAAAGGTAACTTATGTGATGTAAGAGTAACCTAACTTATTTATCTTTAATTACCCGATGACGATATTGTGGGCGCCCGCTAAAATTAATTAAAATAAATTATTGCATTCAACTTGGATTTTAATACAATTTAATTTGTAGACTATACTTATGTAATAAATTATTATTACATTATCATACATTATATCAATATGATATTGTTGACAGAATATAAAAAAAACTTAAATGTAGTATCAGTAAAATACAAGCTGTCGCCCGCGACTTCGTCCTCGCGAAATTGAAAAAACATAATTAGTAGCCCATCTGTTCTTCCAGACTATTTTCTATATGTATTGCAAATTTAATCGAGATCCATTCTGGAGATACCTTCAAACATCCGTCCATCAATCCATATAAACATTCGTATTTTTTATATTAGTAAAAGAAGTCAGATTAACGATGTCAAACCGTGTCCGCTATTTATTCACTTATTTTGTTTCACAGGTCATAAATTATAGCCAGTAAAAATGTTGACAGATGATGTTTAACAAAAAAATAAAAAAAAACGATTTTTTAACGAATTGCGAACAGAAAGAAACTACTGAAGCTACGACCGAAATAGGTAAAAAGTGGTTGTTCGCTATAGACAGGTACGCGAGAAATTATTTTTTAGGGTTCCGTACCTTGAAAGAAAAAACGAATCCCTTATAGGATCACTTTGTGGTTCGTCCGTCTGTCTGTCTTTTTTTCGATATTATTATACATACAGACACTTCAATTCAATTAACTGTATTGATAAAAAACAACATATGTATATTGTTTGTTTCGAATACAAAATTATGTACGCACGTTAACAAGTTTGGCCCGTTAGAAATGTTTTATTTATTTTATTTTTTTAAATGATGAGAAGGGGCAAATGTTTTTTTTTATATATCATAAGGTGGCAAACGAGCGAGCGGCCACCTGAAATCGCTGAAATAGCGAAGTGACCGTTGCCCATAGACATACGCAATACAAAATAGTAAAATAAAGCGATTTCACTGATATTTATTGCTAATGATAATAATTATAAACTTACTGAATAACTTTCTGGACACAGACTGATAAGAATGCACAAAATAATTTCTTTTTAAAGCTAAAATAATTATCTTTATACAGAATGTTTACAAATTTTGAGGATAGTGGAAGGTCATAAACTTATTTCTCAATGCCACGCAGCAACGTTGTAGAAATCGAGACCCAAAAAATGGTGCTTATTACTAAAAAAATATTAACATTGGATGCCCCCTGGCAACTAAACTGAGCAACGTTGCATAACATTGTATAGGTCATATTTTCCGTCAAGGGATTTTTGTACATACACTCTAACAGGGGTACACTCTGTTGTGCGTTAGTGGCTGCTCACATGCCTTGCTGCTGCCATCAGTTTCATCTTATGAGTCTGTACCCTGAAGGCAAATCGCCAGTCCTTTTCCCACCCCTCCATTATTAAGAAAGGACGTAGTTTCCTCTATCCGTACATCACCCTCAGTCAATATAAGATAGGGAACGGTTCAGCAATCTTTCACCTTAAAGATGTTTCTGGGTTACGCTATTTTATAGAAATAAGTTTGCCGCCTCATACAATAAGGAACACTCCGTATATACCCACACAATTGTGCTACGATATAATATTTGAAATTTTTATTTACGTAAATTATAATATATTTAAATAGCCGAAATGTTGTATTTGCATTGTGACAAAATGAACTCGATTATGCTTTTGTATTTTATTATATACTAGAATTTACCGGCGACTCTACCAGCGCAGTATTGAAACTAATCGTATTATTTCGCAAAATGTATCACAACTTTGTTTTATGTCATTGAGTTAATATGAGGGTAGATGCAGAAGGAGGATGCCCTTATTATTGCCCCAATTTGTAATAGTGGGTTTCTGAGAACTAAATCTCCGTTTAAAACATTTTTATCTTTGTTTGTGGCCTCGGAAACTAACGACATGTTATTTTTTTTTGTGTAATTCTGCGGTCGGGTCACATTCGATAGCTATCGAATACGCGTTGTCGCAAATGAAAGCTAAATTATGTTAATTTTATTTAGTTTATTTATTTTAATTAATTCGTCAAAAGTGTTGACTAACGCAAGTGTGAATGTTACATAAATTAATAGCATTAAATTGTGTAGTCTATTACTAATTTCTACCAAAGAGTTTTAGTCAAAGAGTTTTTATATTTCTGGTAAGTTTTTAATCATATTTAGCCTTTAATATTCTCATACATATCACTTATTTTTTTTTAATCCAGTGAAAGTCCTGTCGAAATCGGCCGTCGTTTCGGAGTTAGCAGTTCCCCTCTACTTTGTTAGCGTGGAATTAAAAAAAAAAAATTATTTCTATATCATATACAACATACACTTCTCATTTTATTAACGGTATAGATATACATATACAGATAAATAAATTCAATTGTTAGCTAAATCTGTAGAATTTGTGATTTTGCAACGGTCGCTTCGCTATTGTTGTGATTTCAGGAGGCCGCTAGCTCATTTGCCACCTTTTGATATAAAACAAAATTGATAGCTGCCTATAAAGGTACGCCTACACCAACAACCACCGCACGCACGGATTAAACGGTTTTGGTTTGTCTTGATGCGTAGAATCATAAAAAGCAACTAAAGTTCGTTACGGGCCATGCGTGCGGTGCGTCCGCCGCGGGACAATGGACAAGTACCTTAAACATCTGCTTTACAGATGCGTTATCTCTAGAAAGTTAGTAAGGTTAGAAGGGGGTCGGTAAAATAGAGGATGTTATAAATTATTTATTATTAATCCTTTTTTTAACCTTAATGTAATATCAACAGATTTGTATAATTAAAAAACCATAAACAACGAAAATTTTATCTTAATTAACAAACATTAAATGAATTAAATTAAACAAATTGAATAACAGTTGAATAAATAAAACGCAGCATTATATAAAACAAATAAATATAAATACCGAAAATAAAGTATGTTGCTATTTTTAATAAAAATTGTTTTCTATCGATTTCCCCTTGACGTTGAAAATCTACTTCTTTGATAATGTACTTTCGAATACCATACGTCCATACTTTTATACATTCTCTACGGTCCAATGTTGCTATGTCGCAGTTGAAAATATCTCGATCAATACTCGACATATTTTTGTGTAAACTGAGAGTGTTGTCGTCTTGAAACTTCCAATCATTGTTAGTAAAGAAATCCAATGCCGATGTCAATTTATTTACTTTTTCATAAATATTTAATAATCTGTAAAAAAAATTAAAATAATAAGGTATACTAACATCCACACTTTATGGCGGCTCGCAATTCCGCTCAAGACGCAGAACATAATTTTAGATCTAGGTGGAACGTAAAAGCGTAATCGTTCTTTCCTGCTTCAACAGTAGGCAAACTCGAAGCCTGAGCAAACTTGTGTTCGCAGTTTATGATAAGGCGTTATAGAGCTTAAATCTTACAATAGATTGGCATAACATATTTTATTCGTATATTAATAAAAAAAATAAAGAAAATTGAGAAGTAAATATTTGTTATGAGGAGGGAAGAATCTCATGCGGCAAGGAAAACATTAAGTATTATTGTAAAGTTGTTTACCGGTTGAGGTGGGCCTAAGAAGAGATGGATGGATTGCGTGAAAGATGACATGATTAAGAAGGAGGTGACGACAGAGACGACGATAGATAGATTGATTTA